AAACCTATTACAGAACTTCACAAGAACGTAAGTTCAGTGTAGGCAACCGGACTCATATTTGTGAACAGTGCTTGAGGAAATGACAATTTATAATGGGTTGATATTCAAAGCCTCAACAAAATGTGCTACACATCAAAATAAGGTATAAACCAGTAACTTGACGTGTTTGTTTGTCGGTCTGTCGTTCTGTCAGCCCAAAGATGTCAGGTAGGCCTGAAAAGAAGGGTGTAATGCCTTGTAGGTACGGTAAGTAGAGTGGAACGAAAAGAAGACGCTAAACTGGTTAGAAATTCTGATGTATGGCACTTCATTTTCAATTAACGTCGCCTAAATCTATGAGGTTGTGATGGAGCGAGAAAAGACTTGGATATCAAATATCACGAATCACGAAGCCGTTTTATTGATTATTCATCTAAACAATCAATTTGTTTCCGTTTGCCTTAGCGCGGGTGTAACCCGACTTCAAATCTCACGTGTAATAACTTACGAAGTTTTCTTTAGAATCTATTGAGATCTACGCAGTAAAATCTTCGGAGGCTCATGTGCACCTTATCACTAGGACTGTGATGAAGCTCATTGAGAGACCCATCTGGTAAGAAAGGTAAAGTGGCCCATAAATTGAGTATCCTTTCGAAATTGCTTACCTACAAACCGTCGTGGTAGAAGTGGTGTAGTGACAAATGGTGAACTATCACATGGGCATATCCTATCTTACTTCATATAATTCGCTAAGTGTGTCTGTTGGTGTGTCGGTGTGTTTGTGTGTGTGTGTGTGTCGGTGTGTGTGTCTGACCGGAAATTCATAACTCCTGTCCCTGTGGACATNGAGCATTCAAACTTGGTAGGAATACGTGGGGCAGGAGAAGAACACTTATGGTAAGTGGCTGGACCGGAATCCGAGCACAGGGGACGGCGCGTGCGCGTTAGAAATTTTGGGCCGCAAACTCATAACTCCTGTCCCCGTTTACCTAGAGCGCTCAAATTTGGTAGGAGTAAGCGAGGCAGGATGAGAATACCTCTGGTAGGTGGCAGGACCGGACTCCGCTTATAAGGGGCGAGGCGTGCGCGGCGAAAATTTTAGGCCGCAAGTTCATAACTCCTGTCCCCGTGGACCTGGAGCGTTCAATCTTAGTAGGAACACAGTTGACAGGACGGGAACAATTATGCCGGGTGGCAGGATCGGACTCCGTGCACAGGGGGCGATCCGTGCGCAATGAAAACTGGGCCGCAAATTAATAACTCCTGTTTACGTGGACCTAGAGTGTTGGAATTTGGTAAGACCTAGAGTGTTGGAATTTGGTAAGATTACACTCTTCGTACTAACGGTGGAATCTCAGCAATTAAGTAAGTGATGTAGGATATGACGGGATCGTAGGTACTCGGTGACGAAAACTGATCATTGATAAGTGAAAATAAGGGACCTAAGAGAGGCCACCTACCGATAAAAATTCTAACCTTTTGGTATTTATGATGTAGCTTTGGCTGTCTAGTATGTTTCATTCGATAATACGAATGAAAGGGACTGATTAGGGGCACTATGCTGAGCAGATTAGAACTTTGTTCATTTCTTACTGTTAGATTACGACCGCTACCCAGCAAGGTTTTGAGTCAATGCAGGATCCTCTTTGCTCGATGTCATTTGCGACAAAACTTGATCGACCGCCAGTAGTCTAGAATTCTCAACTAATGATATCTCCATAAAGAATAGGGCCCATTGATAAAGAACATCTAAATGGTGCTATCATCGCTCAGAACATCAAGGCATCATCATTGATTTCCTGACAGTTGGATTTTTGGATTTTGATTTTTTTTTGGGTATTTATTTCTAAGGAAGAGACCGAAAGTTCTAGGCTTCCAATCAAAGGCGTAAGCACCGACTTTAACTGAATACCATTTGCATTGCCCTGTTAGTCCTGTATTAAATTTCGTGTGCAAGAAGCTGTTATTTGTTTTAGAAAGGAGTGGAGAGTTGGAATTACTACAACTTTATCAAAGAAGGAGGGAAGCTTTCGGTTTCTGTTGTGTCAGATAAGGATTTCGAGCTGTTTCAGTTTCATACTCTCACTCAGCTAAACAGCGGGAAAAACCCAAACTTGGCTAAACAGCGGAGGAAACTTAAAGACTACAAACTTGGAATACGGAAAAAAATTCTTCAGTTCAACATTTCTCGGGATAGGGCGTTTGACACAAGAAGGAGGAGAGCCTGGCGTTAGCCGGGCAATCCGACTGGTTATGTTATTATTACGCTATTATTTATTACGCTATGGAGCCAAACGTGGTATGAAAAATAGCAACCTTCTGGAAATAGCTTAATGAGCCGAACAAGTACAAGTACATACGTGATCATACAAAAAAANAAAAAAACAAAAAATATAGCAAATAGTACAAGTTCAAGGCCGGTTACATAACGAAGGCGTGGAAAAAGTGGTTAACCGCAATGAATGACGAAAGCTTATACACAGATAAAACTACTGCCATTTTGCGTTTGAACTCAGACAAGGAATCCTGAGTGTTCAATAGCAGTATGCAATGACAACTCTTACTTCTCATTGACACTTCCATAACTTTCATGCAGGTCAACCCAACGTATGCGAGAGAGATCACTACGCAAAGCTGCAAACTTATATGCAGAGTATACTCTCCGAGAAGTATTTGATGCCATGCTGTCGCACCCGATGTTTTCAAGGATGATGCTGCTATGATCACATGTACCCAACTAGAGAAAGTATTCATAGATTCCTAACTAAATCAGGCTTGCTGCTGACAACCAGGTCCAAAAATCATACCTAGTCCCGTGCAGTTTCTATAATCTTTTGCGTTAATTTGTGACTGTGAAGCAACTCACGAGAGACAAAAGAACAGAGTCATCGGAAAACGCGCTAGTATCGTGAAACAAGGAGAGAGTTGAGTCGAAGTCCCCAACTATCAGGCGAGCGTTAATTAGCTGCTTAGTATTTATAACAGCACATGATGCCGCCTGTCGCGGAGCCCTCGGCTTCGTTTCCCGCTCCTACGAAGCAGGGCGCATTGGCGCGCGGAGATAACTGTCGCCATGACCCCGCGTGCTCTACCCGTGATCGTGCAGCAGCGCACGCTGCAATCACGCCCGGTGTACAAAGTTCTCAAGTTAGTCGAGTCGATCCCTTCTATTGTCGTGTGCCGTCGTGTTGGCAGCAGGCCTGCAAGGCTGGAGCCCTTTATATGTATACCATTTTAACGACTTTCCCGCGCAATTCATTATTCCAAATGGAGCTGGTCGAGCGATGGGTGTGGAAGCCACTCAACGCGGAAAGTTACTTTCTTCACTGAACGCTTCAAATGTTAACGCACAAACTGAGGAGTAGAAAATAAGAAAGTGATAACTAAAGTGGTTTGGACCTTTCGTGTTCGTTCCATGTAAAGGCGATCATCTAGATGTATTCATTCGTTCCGCGATAACCTGCATTAGGGGGAGGGGTCAGATATTTTGCCACTCAAGAATCGAGCCCAGCCATCCGAGTACCATCGATTCGCAACGCCGCTCTATATACTACTATAATCCTTAAGCTCGAGCTCTCGTTCAAACATCGACGCAAAGTGTTTCATATGCATCATCAACAGACTTATTGACAACTAGAGCCATGGAGAGTAAGAGTGAACGAGTAGGATCACCTAGATTCATGAGCCGAAGAAGAGGCGAAGGAAGCATCAGAGTGCTCTTCTTTTTCGACTACTGAGCGATGATCGCCCAGAGTGGGAGACCGTCGTTCCTCCTTCAATATTCTGATGGGTGCTCGTCGTCGGTCACGTTTCTTTTTGGGTAGAGACTCCTTAAAGAAAATCATAAGCAACCCGTTTCTATTTTGCAATGGATTCCCCGTCATGAATACCGCCACTGGGCTGCATTTTACTCCTAATTGTAAGTAACCGAATACACTGCGAACACGACGAAGATCCACTGCCAACCTCTCTCTCGAATTAGTGGATACAGATTCAGGAATGCCACTGATGACATTAGAACATACACATTAGGACGTAGCCTTTCAACTTCATGAGATGGTAACAGAATCAGAGCTGGAAACAGCATCACCATAGCTGTGAGGAGGAGACCAGGCTGTCTTACTACAATCAGATTTCTCCTCAGCAATTCCTTAGACTCATTCTTTAAGTCGGGATTTTCAGATTTCGACTTAAGAATAACTAAATATTTAACATATTCATCATCGCACAGATAACCTTTTTAACATAGTCAGAAACACGCTTATATTTGCATATCTCCACTTGCTCTGCAGCTCACTCCAGCATAATACTTCCTGATCAGGGATGCCTCCCTCTTATTTCTATCAGAGGAAGTTATCAAAAGATCCATGTCGCAGACAGCATTGACGAAGTCGCAGGAACCAAGAAATCAAGTCACAGCAATTACAACAAAATAGGAAACAGTGTACCTGTTACGGTGGCAAAGTTTCTTTTGCACGAATGCCCAGTTGCCACCGTGAGCAACGCAGATCCAAGACATATTCAGTGGGCCTCAATAAAAACTTCACGGAATTGCCATTTTTCGAGTTGAGCTTGTCGTCAAATCGCAAGCGAGCAGTCGTGACCGTCAAAATCGATGAAGACGGATGAAGAGGTCGATAGATGCGCACTCTCGAAGACTGATGACACAACAAAGTAGTTCTTATTCAGGAGTATGGATTTGTTATTGTTAGTAATAGAATCTAGTACAATAACTGAAAGCTTCGGGTACAATTTATCGTATAGTGTAATTTCAAGTGTGTAGTGGATAATTTCGGTTTCAATCGAGCCCGATTAAAACTTCTCTAGTTGCGTAACATACGTCTGTTGAAACGAGTACGAATACGATGCTTTTATCAAACAATGTGAAAACAGTGAGAAACGAATTACAAGAAGCAAAGAGAGTAAATGGAATGATGAAACAGGGCAAAATGCGAATGTGAATGAATCTTAACTTAACACCTAGGCGAGGGCCAGTTATATATACCAGACCTGAGGTCGGGTCAGATGCAATGGTCCGCAGGCCACTGCACCTCGGGATACCACGTATCCCCCGGTACTCTATCGTATCCGACGATCTCGAGGCCGAGATCGGGACCGAGCACCGGTGCGGCACATATATTATATGGGGAGCCTCTAAAAAATGGCGATTCCACTACGCCAAAACTATTTAAAACCGGCGGTGAGGGTTTGAACCTCGACCTCTGGGTCCTGACTGACCTGCATATATGCTCCCTCTGAACAGGAACTAATTTGAACATTTTATCTCCAATGTGTTGAAGTGGCATGATCTTTTGAGGGGTCCGTCCTCCTAATTTGGGATAATGGCCACCCCTTCGTTGCTGGCCTTTCCAGTGTGCAGCTTTCTGCTGATACCCCTGAATATTTGGAACACCGCCCGTGCGACTTCCATCCATTCTTTTGAACGGTGTAAACTTAAACACGCTCGTATATTGTGCCACTGTGGTCATCCAAAAACGTTTGGCTGCACTTTGAGTGAATATTTTTCCTTCTTCGTACGTGACCGTTGAAAACCCTGCTCCCACTCTTCCGTTGAGATCGTAGAGGCAGTAGACACCGAAGACTATTTTTCAAGGAAGACTAGGTTCTCCTCGAATAAGTCCCGTAACGTATCTACGGACCTTTTCCACTGACTATCATTCTACGGTCCACCGAGCGCGATCACTTCAGTGCCTTTGGCGACGAGTTGCATCACTAGAGTCCACGCTTCACGCCATTTTGATGTTCCAGCGAATTCCGCAGGGCTGAATAGCAGGACAGGTAAATAGTCATCGGTGAACCAATCTGGCTCCATGTCCTCGGGCTTCTTCATGATGACCGCTCTTGGGTACTCTGACTTGAAGCACTCTAATGCATTTTCGAAGCCAGCTGGTAAAATAATGAGGTTTTCTCTCAACTTCAGATTTTTCCAAGACGAGTCCGTCCAAACCGCCATTTTCGTTGGAACCCATCGGCTTCGCGGTGGGTGTGCAAGGGCGACGTTTCCAGCCTCGGCAACCGAACTTAGCGTTGCATGAATACAGTGCTGCTGGTAGAACGATAAGGCCATACCTAATCCGGATGGAGCTATGAGATCGTATGACCGATCGAAAGTCTGGCGGTTCGCCAAGCCTCGGGTACATAAGATTGGGTCAAAACCGATAACAGACGAGCTAACTCATACGGTGACAGATATTTTGAAGCTCCAAAGGGAGCATCAGGAATGAGGTCGTGCAGGATAACGTCAGTCGAACATTCTACTTCTACTCCTTGGCACATCTGCTTTCCGGGGCACTGCCAGTCCACGTGACAGGCATCCGTTGTCGACGAAAAGATGGTTCTGAAAATAGGAACGTGAATTCAGGAACACGTTTCGCTTATTATTTTGTTGACTTTCATCGCTACTTTTCTAGGTCGCCACGTTTTCCGTAGCGTAGTCAAACCCTTGACTGGATTATCGCTTATTTCTGATGGAATTTTTACTGAATGATCGAATGGGATTTTACTTTCTATTTTCTCCGATCAATGTTACCAATGCAGACTTCTCTGACGCAGTAACCACGCGAAATGGACCTTCCCATGAGGTGACCAGATTAGTGTGACGCTATTTCCCATTCTCTGCCAGGATTTTCACATAAACTCTATCCCCAACGTTAAATTTAGGACGTTTCTGAGTGTTCCACTCTCTATCGTAGTTCCTTTTCATCCTATTACGATATTCATTGACGTTTTCCGTAATATAATTACGAGCCAGTTCTAGACCATTCAGAAATTCAGTTTTATAATTGTCGTAATCTACCATGTATGGTGATAAAACCTTTGATGGTATAGCAGCCGAGGGATAAACGGGATCGTGGCCGTAGAGCAGAAAATGGGGACTCCCCAGTGGCTTCATGTGGTGCTGCTTTGTAAGCATACACGATCGTGGGTAGAATCCTATCCCACTCCGCTGGTACAACTGTTTTTTCCTAGGCATCCTAACAATGGTTCCATTGACTCTTTCCGTTATACCATTTTCCCTCGGGCAATAACCCTTAGTAAATTTTTGTTGTATGTTCATAACCGAGCATAGGACCTCCATCATGGAATTCTCAAATTCACTTCCAAGGTCTGAAAGCAAAACTGTTGGCCATCTACCGCAGCCGCAAATCCAGTTACTGAAGAGTTTCAGCAACTGTTTCAGCCTTTTTGTCTGGAATAGGATGCGCTCCCAAGTACTTTGTGAAATGGTCCACAACCTCTTTCCGTTATACCATTTTCCCTCGGGCAATAACCCTTAGTAAATTTTTGTTGTATGTTCATAACCGAGCATAGGACCTCCATCATGGAATTCTCAAATTCACTTCCAAGGTCTGAAAGCAAAACTGTTGGCCATCTACCGCAGCCGCAAATCCAGTTACTGAAGAGTTTCAGCAACTGTTTCAGCCTTTTTGTCTGGAATAGGATGCGCTCCCAAGTACTTTGTGAAATGGTCCACAACTGTTACAATGCAGCGATCCCCTGAGTAGTTAAGCCCATTTCGAGTGAGTCGATCCCGACAATTTCGAATGGCTTTAGTGAAACTATAGGCTCCAGGGGAGGGACGTTTCCCTTTTTGTGGTTTGACAGAAAACACGCTTGGCATTCTTTGCACCACTTTCCAAGTCTTGATACATCCTGGTAAGCATTTTACGAGCGTGAAAATGACCACCTAGAGGGCCACGATAAGCTTCCTCAAACAACGCATGTCGCCTACTCCGTGGTACTACCGGGACCAATGTCGTCCTCATTTATCAGTTTGAGTTGCCCGTCATCAATCGCAAAATCTAGTGAACTTAACTTCCGGCTGAACCTCTGAAGTCTCACTTTTTCCTCTCTCTCTCGCTTTCCACTGCGTCCGACTGGCCCAAAATCGGGATCTTCTCGCAACTTTCCAAGCCACTCGTGCTCCTGTATCGAACACACCACTTTTTCGTCTGCTATCCAGACGGGCCCGTTTTCCTCCCGAGCATCTACGGGGCCTCGCGATAGCGCATCAGCGACGCTATTTGCCGCTCCTTTTACATGCTCAATTTTCAGGTCATATCGCTGTA